TAATTTGATTGTGGTAATATTACACATGAGTATGCATATGAAGTCATCACATTGTATATTTGAATATATTCAATCTTTGTCAATTTAATATTTTAATCTAAAAATATATCATTTTAAAAGATAAAAAATAAAACATAGAACTATCACGAAAACAGAGACTGAGTCTGTTCACCACAATTCCACAGCCTCATTGTGCCTTGTGCAGAGTAGGGGCTAAATAAATACCTGCTGAATGGTTCAAAAGAATTATGATGTCAATATGAATTAATGAGCAAATATCAGGGTGACTTTCATTTCAAGAAATTACTGTGGCCTTACCCCCAAATCAGCCTCATTACTTCTAGTGTGAAACACAAATGCTCATCTGTCTTTTCTCTGATTTCCTCCTTATTTCTGTCTTTACTTACCCTCTGTTTATATCTGTTATTTTTCCTCTTTTCACCCATTTTCCAAGTTGCTGTGACACCATTTACTTCATCCCTTCTCTTTTTTCTTAAAGAATTTTATTTCCCTTGATTCAGTGGATTCCCAGCAACACCCTCTCCACTCATTTTCCTGTCTTTCTGCAGCTTAACCACAGCTGCCAGAACCGCCTTTATTCTTCCTAATACCCTTTCACCATCTCATCTCCCTGTCAAGAACCATGTTCTCACTCGTTTAGGTAAATACAAAGGCTCATCTCCCTTCCCTAAGGTCCACTTTCTCGCTCAATTTCACACCCTGGCTGTACTAGTGTTCACAGCCATGGGCTTTCCTGTCCCCACAATTCTCAACGTCCTGAGCTAAACCCACCTAAGCCATCGTCAGCTTAAGGAAGATGATCGGAACTACTTACTGAATAGCAGACACGTTCTCTTTTTACCACCAGTTTCAAAATTAAACCTTACTAATCTGGAAGCCCTTACAGAAGAACATGTGATATAAAAGTAGAACTGGCTTTCTCACTCCCTAAGGAAGAGTTTCACCCTGTATGATATTATGAATAAGATGATGTGGCAATGTTCAGCCAATGCAAGAAAACTGCCATTGACATAAACATTTTCACATGAATAATAAGCTGCTAATTACAATTCTCCTGAAATCTTTTAATAAATTGTAAAGGATGCACAATTTCCCAACTTAAACATTTATGCCTTTGCCAGCCCGATCCACAAAAGCCTATCCCTAATGGACCTAAAAGATATTCTCATTGCACAACAGAAATGAATCATTACTGATAATAGTGTTTTAATGAAAAATCCATTGAAGGTTGGAATTCGGGCTTTTAGAAATGTGCCTCTCACAATAATATCCAGTCAGAGGGAGTGTAGATTTTCAGTGGAGGTAGGGAGCTAAGAGTCTCTGGGTGACACGGCTATAACTCTGGAGTCAAGGGTAGGGGGTTGAGGAGGTTGTTTTAAGGGTTAGTTAAGGGAGAACTTGCTTGAAGACAGCTTGTGTAGATGGCAAGCTCTCTTCTTCCTTTCCCTTGCTTAACTCATTACAAAAGGAGGTGGGCAGAGACGGGAGAGCAGGGGAAGGAGGAAGGTTAGCACAGCTGACACGTGCGCTAAGGAGACACAGAGCTGGGGAGGAATGGGATCACCAGGGAGGAAATGCAGGTAAATTAGTTATATTAAATCGTACATAAACAACAAAAAATAAGTTATGACATTTTAGCTCAGACATTTTATAAAATCAGGAAGTTGACATTTTAAGGACAAAGTAGATAACACTTTAAGTCAGCAAAAAGAGAAGGAAAAAAAGAAAAAGAAAAAACACATAAACAAAATTTCAAGTTCCTACTACTATAGATACACTGTATGTGAATAAGATCACTTTTTGGTGAGCCAAATAATGCAACATGGAAATTTTAAGAGAACTTCAATCAACTAAAATAAACTTTTTTTTTTTGAGACAGAGTCTCGCTTTGTTGTCCAGGCTAGAGTGAGTGCCGTGGCGTCAGCCTAGCTCACAGCAACCTCAAACTCCTGGGCTCGAGCGATCCTTCTGCCTCAGCCTCCCGAGTAGCTGGGACTACAGGCATGTGCCACCATGCCCGGCTAATTTTTTTATATATATATATCAGTTGGCCAATTAATTTCTATTTATAGTAGAGACGGGGTCTCGCTCTTGCTCAGGCTGGTTTTGAACTCCTGACCTTGAGCAATCCGCCCGCCTCGGCCTCCCAGAGAGCTAGGATTACAGGCGTGAGCCACCGCGCCCGGCCTAAAATAAACTTTTCAAGCATTTAAAAACCCTTAAAAATTTTCTAATTTGGCTTTTAAATGAGTATTGCTTGCTTATTTACTGAATATACCTTATAGACCTATATTATACAGATTTGATGTATAATTTACATAAATTTACTTAAGGAAAAAGTAGATTAATAGTAAGGTGTTAGTTAATGTAAGATATAATTGAATAGAATACAAAAACTCTGCTGCACATACTGAAAATCACATCTACTACATGGGTCATTTCTAAGTGTTCATATTTTCAATAGATAAAATTTGTTTTTGTAGTTGAAAGTCTGTTTAAGGTCCCATTTTTTACACTATAGAAAGACGGTGTGAAGGTATGTCTTGGCTCTACACTTCCCCTCACATCTGTCCTTCCCAAATTCATTGCTTTGCTTTTGCTGTTATGTGGGGAAGACATTGTGAACTACATGATCACGTGATTTCACATCCGCTAAAGCAAGATGGTCGCCAACAGAAAGGAAACCAGAGCAGGCCACCATTTGATAATGCCAGTCCCAACCTCCTTGCACATTTTCAAAATTTTCAAGCACAGGCAGTTGTGTATGCAGACTAGATTTCTGTAGGACCACAGTAAGCGTAACCCCCGACATGAAGGAATTCTGAAGTACCACGTACGTTCAAGTCTCAGCCACAGGGACTCCTAACACTCCTGGTTCTGCCCATGCGTGGCTTCCAGTGCTGGTTTATCACCTTTCTTCTGTCCATTACCTGTGGCTGTATACTCAAGATTTGTTATGACCGTGTTTTTCTATTTATAGTCACTTCCTTTAGCATCTCATTAACTAATATGCTTTTAATGCTATCTTTATGTTCAATTTTCTAAGTCTTTACATTCATATCTGAATCTTCTACCCTGTTTTGTCTAAAGGACCCTTGCACTTAGCAGATGTAGGTGCCTACCTACACCACTGGCCCACTCCAAGACAGTGCTAGAATACAGGTTCCATGGGTTCCCACGGCTTTCTGCTTTCCTCTAGCACCAGGCCGGTAGTGCCAGGAGTGAACATCCAGGCACGACTCTTGATGATGACGAAGGAAGGGAAATGAGTAGATAAATCAACTTCTTTGCCCCTCAGTGGGATGAGTCTCCCAGGTGCCTCAGCAGGACTGAGCCCCACTTGTCCACAGCAGTAAGCTGCTCACTAACGCTCGCGTGTTTTGGGTTTCCTGCCTTCCTGTGTCATTTCTCCACTCCCTCACAATGCTTCCTGGCATTGTCTCTCAAGTTAACTATTTATGCCTGAATCCTCATCTTAAAAATTGCTTTGGGTGTGGAAAAGGAGGTCCAGGCTGAAACAGAGGTCCTATTAAAACTTAAAATATATTAATAATTACAATCTCTCAAAACCAACATACCAACTTCTTTTATTGCCTGCTATCGCACTTTCTTCTCTTCTCTGGAGGGCTGAGTGCTGCTGAGCTATGAGGGTTTGAGAGAGAGACTTCACTTCTGCTCCCAGTTCTATGGTATCACACAGGTAACACGACACACACACACACACACACACACACACACACACACACACAACTAGGATAGATAATACTTTCCAGGGCTGTTGCAAGGATTAAATAAAAGCACGCAAAGCACCTTTTACTTTGTCTTCATTCGATTATAATATAGACATTTCAAATTTAGGGAGCAAACTATAGCTTTCTTCTATGAGTTTTTTCCCCCTTAATAATTACTTTGAACCAACTTGGAATATAACAGTGAAAATCACAAATAAGGAGAATTCAGGTATTCTCATATATTAATATAAATTAAGGGTCAAACTTTTTCTCATCAGCTTACTGAGATATATGGGATTTGTCATTTGTTTAATTAGACATCTTTATATTAGAGAGCTCATGAAAACCATAGATAATATTCTTATAATCTGAGGATTTATTGCATTTAATAGATAATTCATGATATTGACTATAAAACCATCATGAAAAGGGCTTATTTATGAAACAATCTAAGGCATAAATATTCAGTACATCAAGGGGAAAGAGATGGAAGGGGAGTTCGGTAAATAATTGTATAAGTTACAGGTATTACAGTGTTAAAGGTAAAACATTAATAACTGCATGTCCTTCTCCATAGCACCCTATAGAATGTAATTAGTATCAATATTGAATTTATTGCTTGTTGAGTTTGCTGAACTGACTCTTCACTTCCAACAACTCACTTCTTTTGTACTTCTATCTTTATCCATATTCCTCCCCTTCCTAGAATTTGCTCATTTTCTTCAATATGATTTAGTGCTCAATAATATTTTCTGTTGAATGCCTTCACACTTAATTATAAATCATGTCTTTAGCAGTTGCTTTATATTGAAAATGGAGAATGAATTCAGTATCTGTCTATAATGAATCAAAAGTAGCTAGTAGGATCACAGTCTAAATAATCAGTCTGCATGGATTTACAACTACATTATTAGCACATGATTAATAGCACCTAATGCAAACCAGTTCATACTCGACATTTACTAAGTCATTCTGTCTGAAAGTCCTGTGGCACTGCTTCAGATCAGTTAAGAGTTCTCTTTATACGACAGTACATGTTAATGTGCCATCTGGCCCAACAGCTGATGTGGCTCACACAGTCCTGAAGAGGCCCAAGAGTTTACTCCTGGGAAACATTTGGTCTACTGTGTGGTGTCACGGTTACTCATTCATAGCTTTTTTACATCCTTTGAAAAGAATTGCAGAAAAACCTCCATACTTGGGAAAATTCTAAATTGGAACTAATTTTCTAGAAAAGAGTTCACTTACCTGAGGACCAGGCTGACCCTGAAATTTAAAAATAAGAAAAAGAAAAACAATTACAAAACTGTTATCCTGACTGAATATTTTCGCTACCAAAACTTCAACTAGTTATGAAAATTTTTACAAAATATCTCTAAAGATAATAATACCTAACTACTGACAAATTTCACTTTGGGACATTAAAAAGTCATATCTTAATAGTTTTACTCTATGCTATATATCTAAAATCCTGATATTATGGTCTATTATATTTAACTCCAAAATGACTCAAGGGCTTTAGCATACTCTAAAACTTAGTTGGGGAAAGAGAGGGCAAAAGGTGTACTACACCTCATATCATCATAATGAATGGGCCACCTAAGGGAGGGTCTTCTAGCACAGACCATTACTATGAACCACATGCTCAAAGATAACACAGAGTTAAGGGAAAAAAGAGGCAATTATTTTTGCTTTAGAATTCACTGAGTCTTTTAATTTCTCATTATTTCAATACAATTTTAAGTCAATTTTTCACAAACATCTATGTTTTACTCCGTATAATTGAACCTAAGAGCATTTAAAAAGGGTATGAAAGATCTTCAGATCATTGAAGTGCATCCTAATTCCTCACACGTCAATAGATTACGTGACCTCTGGCCAGTCTGATTTTTGTTGAATGTCACTTTCTTGCTGCTCAAGCTGATAAAAATTCTAAAGCAGCATAACTGTAAATGCTTCTAGCTAAAGAAAAATCACCTGTGAATAAAACTATTGATTATATATCACCTTCTCAGAATTTTCAATTGAATTTTGTGCCAGATGAGATTAAAGAGAAAGTTCACACTGAGTCAGGGAATCTTTAAAAAATTGATAAACAATGTGCAGCCTCATGGTATGAGCCGTATGCTACCGAGTATCATATAGAAAAGTGCGGCGCTATCATAACTCCCAGAGAAGGCCTGGGAGCTCTCTCTCACTTAGCCTTTCTCCAGGCCTGGAATTTCTCCAGGTACTTACTCGTTCTCTAACTCACTGGGGACAGAGCAGATGATTCCTAAGACCTTTGCCAGAAAATGTGGTTGGCCAGGTTTTATTAATATCTAGTCCAACCAGGAAGGGGAACCAAATCAAAATACTGTAGATGTTACCCCACCCCTGGACCAGCTAGTGTTAGACACAGACAAAGAGAATGACATATTCATTCCTTGCAGAGTACCAGGCACCTTTGGATATGTTATTCCATTTACTCCTTATAACTGCCCAGCATTTTTCAGATGGAGAAACTGAGGCTCAGAGGAATACACTAAAAGTCACACAGCCTATAGATAGAAAAGCCAAAATTTAAACCCAAATCTGATTCCAAAGTTTGTGCATTTCCTACCAGGTCATTCTGCCTTTCAGTCTGCACAGCTACATGCAGGCTTGCTCAGGCCAGCTATGGGACAAGAGCACCCTTCGAGTGAGTAGACTTTCTAACTTCCCAACCGCTCCGGGGCTGCCACGCAGTGCATCTCTGCTTCCAGACGCATCCCTAGGGCCAGGCACACCAGCCTGTCAACTGACGCCTGTACAGACACCGCTCTAGCGAAGCTTCTTAAGGTTAACAGCCCTAAAATCAGCGCTAAACATAGAGAAGTTTTCTATCAAGAACCTACAAAGGCAGGGTTTTCCATTTATATGCAACTATGGATCTTCCCAGATCCATGTACCGGATGAAATTACAATGTGTGACCCCCCTCCCCCCTGCTCGCACTCACTCCTGTACACACGCTCTCTCTCTCTCTCTCTCTCTCTCTCTCTCTCTCTGTCTCTCGTTCTGTCTTTCCTCATCGGCTTTAAGCTTTTGGTCTTTCTGATGTTTTGAACTAATGTAAACTCACAAATGTGAACATGCACCTTTTATAGAACCCCTGAATATATTACATCTCTTATATGTCTGATATGAAAATTAAAATGTAGGATTCTCTAAAATTAGAGGGATTTTCTTCTAAAGAGTATGTTTAGCATAGTTTCTGAGAGTTTCACATTCCTATGGTTGTTCAACAAATGACACACTTTTCCTGTTCATCTTTAAAATGTGACATTTCTGTCATTAGATGGAACAAATGATTTAGCACAATGTGTACATATATTTGTTGGTCATTATATAAAATATACATCACATTATGGATTTTATGTTAGTGATAGTGAGAACAATAGTAGTAAAGGACAGTAACATTTAGAAGTTGACTTCTCTCTCTACAGGCATCGGAAAGTATTTAGCACCAGGGAACTCATATTGTCCTAACATGGAGATGAATTTCAGGTGTGCATGATGCGTGTGCATGCGTCTGTGTGTGCATGTGTGTGCATGTGTGTGCAGGGTGGGGAACATGAAAAAGAAGTAGTTGGTAGAGAAGCTTCCCAGAGAAACAAGGCACACCTGACAAATTTGGTAACTCTGCCCTAAAACATGGATGACATGATACAAGCCTTACAACTCTTACCCAAGATTCCAGGACTGCCTACACACGGCCTCTCACTCAAAAGGATGTAACAGTCAATTCACCAGCAGACGCCTAAAATACCTGTAAGATGACAGTTTGGCAGCTGGAGTTTTGTAGTCATGATAACAGAGCCACCTGGCCAAGCCAGGGAAGTGATGAGAGGAGAGATCTCTGTGGGTGTGGCAGTGTTGGGGAGCCCTAGGGTAGAGGGACAGCAGGCCGGAGCCTTCCAGGATCATCTCAGAAACTCCCTTGCGACTGAGGGCACCTGGCGATAAAGACTTTGTCACTTACTAATCGCCAAAACAAATATCTTAGAATTTCCTTAAGCTGCTTCTGAGTAGTTCATTGAGAAATACATGTGTTTTCATTCCTTAGTGGATATTTTTCTAGTCTATTCTAATTTATAGGTAGCAAACATTATTAATAATTAACTGTGAAAGTTAACTTTTTCCTAAAATATACCCTGAATGAGTAGTTATAAATTTTGATGGAGATTCACAAAACACAAGTTGAGTCAATTTTTAAAATGGAATTCCTGAAAAGGCCTATTCTCCACCAAGCAAATCACCAAAATGCTTCTGTAAATAAAGAGCAGAATCTAGCCTAATCAAGGGCCGTGCAAAGTGACACAGGGAATCACAGACGTGCTGGAGTGAGGGACACACATGTAAAATCCAGAGTCCCGAGTCACTGATTAATGCCAACAGCTGACTGCGATACCCTGGGTCAGCTTAGGCACCGGGAGAAAAGGACCAGCAGGAGGAGGTGACTTCAGAGAGGGGTAGTCAGAACAGGGAAGTGGAAGACAATTAGCCAGTGGGTTGTTTGACAGGAAAGTATTCAAAGGAAGTCAAAAGTTTTGTGAGACAAGCAAACCACAATGGAACATGATATATGAGATGACCTGTCACTGGAGAATGTATTGTCACTTTAGGCAATTAAAGAGCAATATTAACTGTTCTTTGTTGAGCTGTTATCACAATTATGGTTGCCAGAAAGTGCTAGCACAACTCTCTAAATCGGCAAAGTCATTTAGATCTCTGACTGAGGCAATTAGTTTCACTACATGATACTTTTTTATGGATGGCAAATCTGTGTCATTCCTTTTCAGATGGGACAAATGCTGTTTTTCCATTTAACCCACACACTGACAGGCACACAAAAGTTGTAGTTTTAAAGTATTTTGAAATATGGATTAAGATAACAGACTCGCATATGTCTTCACTGTGATTAATTTTAAATTAAAAGTTCATCCACAAAAACTTGAGAGAATATTAGTATTGTTCACACAACTCTAAAAGGCACTACCTCTGTTTCAAGGTAGAAATAAATTGCCTCAATAACTCAGAAACTCATCATTAAGACACCCAAGCAGGACTACTTATTTTAGTACACTCACATTCATATTTATTTTACTCTCTTGAATTGAAAAAAACAATTTTTAAGAGAAATTATTTTGGAACCCTTACTAACTATAATTTTATCATCTCTTAAAATTTCAATTTACACACTCAGATAGATTCAAGCTTATTTTTCTTTTCAGATGAAAATAGCATCTGTAGTAGGCATCCGTATAAAGCTGTGGAAGCACATCAAAGAAACTCCAAGTGGCAACAGGATTGTCCTGGTGGCAGGAGGTCTCAAGCACCAGTAGGAACCCCGGCATAGACCCACCTCCCGGCTCTTGATGACCATCTCGAGGGGACCCCTTAACCTTTCAAGAGGCGAGTTTGACCTGGCACCTGCGCCGCGAGAGGGACAGACGCACCCTACGCTCAGGGCGCCAGGGAGCAGGAATCTGGCCCGTTCTCACCACTCTGTGACTTTGATCACATCTGACTCTGCAATGTGCCAGTACCCAAGCTATACGGCGCCTCAGAAGCAATTGCTGAACTACTGAAAGGTGAGAATATTTGACTGGCCCAAAGAGGGCAGACAATGATATTTTAAAGAGCCATTAGAACAGTTACTATTCTTACATTAATGTTATATTTTCAAAATGTAGGTTCTCAAGCTAATATTCCAGAAAGGGTTCTTTTGGCTTCTGATCACTACAAAATAAACACATCTGTGTCAAAGAGAAAGTTTCCTACTCAGTGGAATCTTATTCAGATAATAAAACTGAGGCGGCCAAAGACTGCAGAGGCTCCAGAGGAGGCTGTAGATACCCACCAACACACGTGTGCCTCGGAACAGAAGCAGGAGAGTTCTGTCTTGAAGAAAATCACTGCCTAGTTTGCATAAGCCTCTACATCCAATTAATATGAGAATATTATATCAAATTACTTAGTAAATTATGCTCTATAAATATAGCTGGAAGTTTAAATAGGTTATATATTCTATACCAATAACTTGCTTAATTCAAATTTAGATAAAGTATCTGTTAACTTTAAAAACTAATTAATATGTAAATATATACTCAAAAGAGAAGCAATTAAAAAAATAAAGCATTATGGGTTATGTGTATTAATTTGAAAATGGCTTTGCAAAGACTGCAGATCTTCCAAAGTCTATACACAGCTCTTGCTCTCGAGGACTCTTATACATTTGACTGAA